TAAAGCTTTCACTTGTTTCTAAGTGTTTTTTTCTAAATAATGTTCAATTATTTGCTAGGAGGCCATCGTCAGACATACATGATTTTGCTGTAATAAGCGTTTAGCGCCCTTCTGGAAAAGCATATCCCCTCCATGGCAACTTCCCTGTCAGCATGTGTGACTCATGGCAATAATGATGCTCACTCCTCTAGAAATAGTTCCAGGCGCGGGAAGCTAAGAGCTGAGTGGGGACCCGCAAAGGTTGCCTCTTCAGGGGGTGCTGCGATTGTTTGGGATGAAGAAAATCCTTAATGATCTGTCTGTTCTCATTATGGGTAATTTAATTTTCTGGATGTCTAAGAATGATAGTATACTAGTCTCTTTATTAATTCTCATTAATTTCTTATTCCCTACTAATTGCATTTCTTCTTTCCTCTCAACCTCTGTAAGATGTTAAAGTGGGTTCAACACTTGTGTCATCTAAGTCCCTAAATGCTAAACAGAAGATCAAAATGAAATGACATTACCAGCTGGGGTTTTTATGACAGTGGAAAGGACTAGTACTTTTGTGTGTGTGTAGAAGAACAAAAGGTAGGGGAGGGTGCTGTGATACAGCATGTCTAGGGGAAGGAAGTGACTTAGCAGGGTTCCAAGCAGAGAGAACAAGTCATGGTGAAGAGGGTAAACCGGTTTACCAGACAGGAGCAGAGGTTCTGTTGGTATTAGAGAATGGCAGCGCAAAGTAAGCGTGTTATTAGATCAGCAGATGGCAAGGAGGCAGTTAGAACAGAGCTTCTGCCAGAGTGAAGTTTGTGAGTTTGATTTGAGGGTTAATAAAGAACTCAAATCAGTTGAGTTGTTGGTGATTCTTGAGGCTCCCTAGAGGTTGTGGAGGAAGGACACCTGACGTCTCAGCCTTGGGGCCAAGCCAGCCATAGTGGGTAAAAGATCCAGGAGAAGGTAAAAGCTTGGGAGAAGATGGAATCAAGTGTGTGTAAGTGTGTGTTTGTGTGCACGTGTGCAGGTCTTGCTCAGGTACAGATGGAAGGGTGGTGGTTGGGAGAGGATTATTATTTTAGTAGAAGGGAATATGCAAAGGTATACTGCATCTCAAAGGAGATAACTTCTTTCCACTTATTTCTTTAGGCTCTACGTCCACCAGGAGGTAGAATAATTAGCCCCATAAGAGCCAGAGCATAGAAACTGCACCCATTCACGGGCCTATCGTCATAGTTCCGCAACTCTCTAAAATTCCTGAGATGCTCCTTAACACTGACAGGTACCTACCTACGAAGTTTTCCTCTCTAAGCAGGTCAGTGCTGCACCAGACCATCCTTAAGCAGCTCTAAATTCAGGATCCTCTTCCAGTCAGATTTTTACCCCACTGGTTTTGGAAAATTTATATTACCTACATACACAACAGAAAGGGGGTATACATCAAAAAAGGCATTGTTTTTTTTTTTTTTTTTGAGACAGAGTCTCACTCTGTCACCCTGGGTGGAGTGCAATGGTGGCATCAGAGCTCACAGCAACCATCCAACTCCTGGGCTCAAGGGATCCTCCTGCCTCAGCCTCTGCAGTAATTGGGATTATAGGCACACACCATGATGCCTTGCTAATTTTTGTATTTTTAGTAGAAACGTGGTCTTGCTCTTGCTCAGGCTGGTCTTGAACTCCTGAGCTCAAGTGATCCTCCCACCTTGACCTTCCAGAGTGCTAGGATTACAGGCATGAACCACCACACCCAGCCAGGAATTTTCTTTTTCTTTAACGATGTCCTACAATTCCCAGCTCTCTACATTTCTCTTATCTACCAACTGCCAGGAAATGCAACAAACTCAGGATAAGCTCACAGGCAGAACAGCATAAGGAGATATAGGCAGAGTTTACATACAGTTGAGATAAATTACAGGAGCCTCATCTTTACAGGTAGGCAGCCATTGGCACACTCCTTGATTTCATCCTCCCTTATTATGGTTTGGGGTCATTTAGTTAGGACATCTGTCACCCTCGCACCAGGAAGAGCTCATTTACTTGCTCGTGTTATTGTTCTCTCTGTTGCCATCACTCTTTTCCTAGTCTCCTTGTCCCCCAAATGTATGGGAACAATTTGTTTTTCCTGCTGCAGCTGCAGATCCATCCTCGAGCTCTGTCCTCGGACTCTGGGCACTCGGAATAGTCACTTATGTTCTTTGTGCCCAGCGCTCTGCCTCAGGCAGCTCACGCCAGAATCTCTCTAGTGGTTTTGCTCCATTTCTTCTCCCCTTCTGTCTTTGGTGTCTTTCTCTCAGGCTGATTATCACAGCACTTTGACTTCTTTCAGCTCATTTAGTGCTCTTTTGGATTGCTTCCTAAACAATCCCTATGCCCCCAATTTTTCCACTTCACCTCAATCTCTCAACCTCCCTTTTTAGCCTCAGATGGGTCATTTGCAGCTTCTACACACATATGAAATATGTTGCAGAACTGCTTAAAAATGATTTGAGGGTTCAAAACCCCTCTCCGTTTTGTCATTCTTGGTCATTCGATCGTTGAAGTGGTGGCGGTTGTATACATCACCAAATCTTTTTTTTTTTTTTTTTTTTTTTTTTATTTTTTCTTTTTTTTTTCTCTCCACATCAGAAGCTAGGATACATCACCAAATCTTAAATGAGCCCAACCAGAGATCTGAAGCTCCAGCAGGACTGACATATTTTCCCATGTACCTGGGGAAAGGATGAGAAGGTTAGAAGAGGAGAGTGAGAGATATTGCTCATAAGCATGACTGTTGTATTTCCTTTAAACTCTGCCTCCGACCCTTTCTTCTGAAACTTAGACACACGTTCATGGAATTCCACCCTGGGATCAATCTTTGAGACAGATGTATTGTGTATACTTGTTGTTGTGGTTTTGTCAAAATTCTCATGTAAATGCATTATGCAAATAGAAGCTCACCAAGCCCAGTTTCCATTTTCACTTTTTATGATTTCCAATTAAAATAGTTAAATAATTGAACAGACCAAAATGAACCATTAGGGCAGGTGATACTATATATGATACTGTAATGGAGGGAATGGCCTGGAAAGAGGTAAAAATGTCTTACGAGCTGAGCTGTCTCTTTAAAACTTCCCCTACTCTTTTTGGGAATTAAAACCTGCATCCCTTCCCCAGGCCAACGGTCAGGAGGGGCGGGGGAGTGTCTGTCTTTTGTTCTTTGTACCACAGGAGGTGGCTAAACAGAACTGGCCAGGCAAAAGTCATAAGATTGTCTTTACTGGAGTTGGGGAGATGGGATCCACCAGAACCGCCAACTGTAGTTAAACAGTACTTTGAAGCTGAAAACCCTCCCTTTAAAGCGTCTGTATTTCTGCTTGTAGATAGGAAAATTGGTACTGTAAGACTCAAGCCTGCCTTTTCCTCATTTGCTGGCAAATTAATAAACCTCCCTTTCCTCCTTCTCAAACCACTTGTCCTCATTCTGCCAAACTTTTGGTAGCAATACTTGAAATACTCACTGATCAGCAAATATATAAAAATCTGAGTCTAGCACATAAAAGGCGAATGAGGAACGTCAGTGTAGAGTGTATGCAAGGTCATGTTCCATAAAAGTTCCAAATACACAAGCCCAGAATCCCCTGTACTCTGCTCTCTGGGGTTCAAACCCAGATACCACTCACTAGATATGTGCCCCAGAGCAAAGGCTTCCTTTATGCTCTCAGTAGGGAAATGGAGACACCAATATCAGCTGCTACACAGGGCTATTGAGAGAATCAAATGAGACCATGTCTGTGGGAAGCATGTGATAAAGCTGTTACTACCATGAAATAGAGCAAGGAACAAGGGAGAAGGACTGTGTAAATTTCTCGAGTGATGCATCTTTAGGCACTCTAAGTGATACACATCCTTAGGTTGGTGGAGAAGTCAGGGAAGTCAGTCTTGCCAATAAAGAGATACAAAATCCCTTTGATTTTGTTATTCACAATAATGGAATTCTATTTTTATTAGTGTTCTATTGCTGCATTTTTTCATTTTTCATAAACCTCTATAATATATAAAATTACAAATTAACAATTTTTTTCACATATAAGCACACATATTTTCTTTCTCTGTATTATGCATGGGGGTCTGCATGTATTTACAAGGGCTGTCGGGAAAGTATCCATCCATGTGCCCATTGTTCTATTATTAACAATGGCTGGATACTTTCTAGACAGTCCTTGTGTGCATATCTGTGTGTGTATGGGTGCATATATATAGATGTCTATACACACACACACACATAAATACATATATACAATTGCCATTTCATAATTATAAACAGGTCCCTAATTTCTTATTTTGATTCTTAATGCGCAGGCCCTGGTCCTTTTCTTTTTCTGAAAAGGGATATTTTTCTTACTTCGGCATTCCTTTTATTCTTAGTTTATGAGAAAAACAACAAGACAGTGGACCTGGTTTTTTCCTACAGGTGACCAGAGATAAGGAGAATTCTTACCCATTGTCTTTGCTCCTGGATTGTCTGCATCTAAAGCAACTGGTGCCAGCTCCCTGGCCCTCCCCTCCCTTCTCCTCACTCCAGCACCAGATCTCAGGGCAGACAGGGCTTCCCTGGGCTCTGTGCCCACAGCAGGCAGGGAAGTGTGAGAGAGAACAGTCGCTGTCCCCTGGGGGCTTCTTGTTCCCAGGAGCTCACATTTCCCAAACCGAGGCTGGTGTTGGGATATGCCCAAGTCCCCCGTGGAGGCAGCTGCTCCCTGGGAGCCGCTGTCGTGTGCTCCTATTCCAGACCGAGCTTGAGCACACCGTAAGCACTGAGCACGGGAGGCTTCCACCTTTCTGGGTGTGTTTCAGTTCGAGGTCTCCCAGCACCAGGAGCGCCTGGATAGTGGGAGGAAGGAGCGAGCGAGCGAGCGAGCGAGCGAGAGAGAGAGAGCGAGAGAGAGAGCGAGAGAGAGAGCGAGAGAGAGAGCGAGAGAGAGAGCGAGAGAGAGAGAGAGAGAGAGAGAGAGAGAGAGAGAGAGAGAGAGAGAGTGTGAGTGGGGCCCCTGCGGGGTGGGGTGTCTCCATCCCGGCAGTTGTATTGTTTCTCTTTCCTGTTGACTGCCCCAAAGGTCCCAGGTTTGGGACAGCACCTGCGGGGAGTTTGAGGGGGGCCTCTTTGTCCCATTCAACCGGCTGCACTGGCCCTGCTGTCCACAGGGTGGGAGCTCCAGGTCCTGCCTCTGGACCTGGGTGGCGGGACGTGATCTGGCGCTGGTGAGTCCCCCTCCCCTCTGGCTCTGTCAGGAGCCCTTCATTGCCATCACAACACCTGTCACAATCTATCATTTTAAACTATTTACTGTCTGTTTTCCCAATTTCCTGCAGAACCGCAGGACTGTTTTGCTGCTGCTGTATTCCAGAGCAGCAGCACACCTGCGCAGGCCAGCTTGTCTTTCTGAGTGAATAGTGAACGGGTGGGTGGATGGTTTGAGTTGCCCGTGTCCTGCTCACGGTGCTGGGGCTGGTGTGGGGTGCAGCAGTGAGTCCCATCATGACAGGGCCCCACTCCCTGCCTGATCCCATCTTGCCCTGACTCTGGGGAAGAAGCTAAGGGTCTCTGCCCCACAACCCACCCCTTCCCCAGACTGGGGTTGGAGAAGCTCAACCTAGATCCTTCCTGGCGTGTCTCTTTCTTCTCCTTGAGCCTCCCTAGACCCTTGCCTGCTCGGCACATGGTCCTCCTGCATCATCCTCTGTCTCTAATTCTTGCCACCAGTCCATCTGCCTGCCCTAGGGTGCTGCCCACCTCTGTGTCCCCCCTCCCCTGCTGCCTGCCCGTTGCAAGGGCCTGGCATCAGCGAGGGATGCTCAGGTGCTTCCTCTGCTGTCCCCTCTCTTCTGGTCCTCACCTGCTCTCTCCCAATTATGAAATGCCACTGAGGGGCTCACCGTGTCCAGGACACTGAATGATCAAAATGACTGCTACAAAGAGCCAAGCGAGGGACAGCACTGCTGCTCCTCTGTACTCCCAATGTGTTTAAAAAAAAAAAAAAGAATCATTTCCTGGGGTGGGGAAGTTGTTCCAGAAGTCAAAAGGCACAGGGATAATTCAGCCAGGAGAACCAAGAGGGTGGATGTGGGAGAAGAGAAAGGTGCATGACCAGGAAGGGACTTTCAAGTGGGTGCCACGTCTCTGGAGGGTTATCATGCTATAGGGGGACGGGCACACTATGTGCTATTTGACATTTTAAACAGAGCCCTGAACTGCAAAGCCTGCAGCGTGAAGGATCTGGAGAGAGATGAATAGGATCTCTTATCAGCAAGGATTCTTCACAGGAACGAGTCAGGGAAGCTGAGTTAGGGACCCTGGGGAGTCCGGGCCGTCAAGTGCAGTTGATGTGTGACCGTGTCCAAAGCATGTGCTGAATGGCCAACCACAGCCTTGACCAGGCTGCTCTGTAGCAGCAGGGGCTGCGCTTGGTCTGTTTTCATAGGACAGGGATCGTCTCCTGGTTTGCCTGAGTCACGGGCATGTAGGAGTCTTGGGCCTGAGAGAGGATCTGTTCTGCAGCGGGGCAGGGAATGTTCCAAAGGCTGCCGCAGAGGCTGCACTGAGAGAAAGCTGTTCTGCAGGAGACCCTGATGCAGACAGAAGTCTATTCTACATTCAAGTTAGACTTTACCTATGTTAACTTTGCTTGAACTAAACAATCAGTTTTGTAAAATAAAAACTTGGAATATAAAATTACTGAACAAGTACAGAAGGTCCTGAAACATACTCCAGGAGCCTGTCCTGAGTGGTGGGCTCCAGACTGGGGAGTTGGAGTCGGAGGAGTTGTGGCCCAGAGTCTCAAGGCAGCAAGAAGGAATGGTTGGTATGAATTAATAGATGAAGAGCGGAGCACCAGTCATCAAGCCTGAGAGGGGAGGTGGGCAGATCTCAAATGGGAAGAAGAAAGACTAAGAGTGAAAAATACAGGAGGCTGGGAAGAGGAAGGCAAGAGGTGCTGGGGTGAGGGGTTGAGGGTGGGGGCACAATAACAGGGGCTGTACCGGAGGCCGGTTTGAAGGGGAGGCCAGCTGGCATGGTATGGAGCCAGGGCTATCTGGGAATTAACCCTTTGATCGCTGATTCCAAGGCTTCAGTGTTTTAAATTGTAGAACCCAGGATACGATGTCACTAAAACCTATCAGTTAAAGAAAGATGTCGCTTTCTGGGTGGCAGGTGGCCAATAAAACACAAAATAGGCCCATGAGTTGAATTCCTCATTGTGGCTCAGGGATTTATAACACCTGCAGTATATGAGACACATCAACACGGGGACAACGAGGATGAGATCACGATCGGGGTGTGACCATTGGAGGAGCAGCGGCTCCCTGGGTGCCGGCTGGCCGTGCGTTCCCACCGAGAGACAGAGCGCTGAGGGCTGATCCTGTCTGGAGAAACTCCACTTATCCTGCAGTAGCGGTTGAGACTCATGTTAGATCTTTCTGCTAGGAAAGGGGCATGCCCTCATTTCTCACTCCTCGTGGACAGTCCACAGCCGATCGTGGAAATGCAATGCCTCCCTTCCTTTGCCATTCACTGAGCACTTTTGCTGTTTATAGGTACACGCCACAGGCTCCAAATCCTGCATTCAGAGATTGAGAAGGCACTGTGCTTGGCTGACCATCTCGCATATTCCACACATTCGTGGTTTTGATTACTACAAACAGGTATTGGGGTTAGAAAGCCATGGATTTAAACCCCAGCTCAGCATTTATTCACTATGGTTCGGGCTTGAGAGCCTCAAACGTCCCAAGCCTCAGCCTCTGTCACCTGTGGTGGGGAGCTGGCGACTGTTTCACAGCCTCGTCGTGGCACAGGAACCCGTGCATGGCGGGCGCTCCATGGGTGGGGGCTGCCATTCCCAACCCTTATCCACCATTCTGTATTCAAAATGCTTTGAAAACAGAAAGCTCTTTTTAAATTTCATGTCAAGCTAATTAGACAGGGAAGCCTGATCTGAAATAATTAACGCGAGGGTATTTTTGCCTTTATTTATATCATTTAGTGCAAATATTTGTATACTTTGCTGCAGAAAATAGTGTGTTTGATTACAGAATGCTGCCCAGACCCTTCTGGGATTGGTCGCATCTTAGTTTTCTGGGAAGAAATCATGAGTCACGATTTCCCCATTACCTTCTGTTCAAGTGCACAATGCACACACACACACATCATCATCATGAAATCGGACTTTCCCTTTGGCAACTTTCCTTTTCAGGACTGGGAATGAAAACCTAGCAGATGTGCTCATTCATCTGTTTAACTAAAACCGAGCAGTTACACCGTGTAAACATGTTACAGGGCATTGTGAAAGTTATAAAGTCCTGCCCCTAAGAAACCAGGAATCTAGGCTTGGAGGTGTGACTGGCACACAAATGATTATCGCAAGGCAGGATGTGCTAACTTTCCCGATTGAGACTCCCGGGCAGGATGGCTTCACATCCGGATGGGGGAGGAAGCTTCCTAAAGGAGGGGACATTCAACACAGTCCCCCGTGGGTGATTAAGAATTCACCAGCCAAAGATGGCAGGCAGGGTATTCCAGGGACAGGCATCCACCAGGGAAGGGTGTGTGAGAGCAGAGTGGAGAACAGCAAGTGGCCCAGCTTGGTGACAGCAAGGAGGAGGTGTAGAGGGTAAAGCCAGGGCCGTGGCCGGGGACGAGCAGAGCCCTGGAGAGCAGAGGTTGCAAGGAGGGTTGTGCTCGATTTGGCTAACACAGGAACGGACGATGTTATTGTTGTTGTTGTCAACTTTTTCCTTCTGATCACCAAAGCAATATATGAAGAAAATTCATACTTGAATGAAGAGAATTTGGAAACAAACAAGTATATATAGTAGAACTAAGGGTAGCAAGTTCTAGTTGGGATGAGTACATTCTAGAGGTCATTGTGTAGCATGGGTACTGTAAGTAAGGATTGTACTGTATACTTGAAATTTCCTAAGAGGGTAAATCTTAGGTGTCCTCATCACAAAAATAGAGGCAACTATGTGAAAAGATGGATGTTTTAATTAGCGTGACTGCGGTAGTCAGTTCACTATGTGTATGTGTATCAAAACATCCTGCTGTGCGCCTTAGGCACATAAAACTTCAATACAAAAATTTCTAAAATGTAAATGACTAAAACCCAGATATAGCCACTATTAATATTTTAAAATTCTTCCTTCCAGTCTTTTTCTGTACAAAATAGATGGCTAGCTAGTTCAATCAATTTCGAGAGTAATGCATATATGAATCACATTACTTCAGATTATTAAAAAGAGCTACTGGACATAATAACTTAGAAAAATAAATATAATAGCAGTGAAGTGCATGGATAATTAGGGATAGGGGATCTACAAATAAGAAAACTATTAGGAATTTTGTCTTGATGATTAAGAGGGAATAAGCCCTTGAACTATGGTAGTGGCTATGGATAAAAAAAAGGGGGGAGATTGGATGAAAAAAAATATTCCCATGGGCAGCAATTGAAGTGGTTTAGGAGAGAGAAGATAAAATCAGAGATGCCCTCCAGTTCTGAGCCCAGACGAGTGGGGAACGGGGAGAGCCATGAAAGGGGTATTTGGGGGAGGGGAGGATGGTGTGCACCTCTAGACCCGTCCAGAGTGTGTTGTCATCCTCAGGTGGGTAGATACATGGGCTGGGGCTCGGAGGAAGATACAAATCCAGATTTAAGGCTCATTTATATTTTCAAGGTTGCTTTAATTAAAGAAGGTGGTGATATTTCCGAAGGAGAGAATAGAGAAATTTTTAAAACTAAAGGATGAGAAGAGAAATGCCATCGAAAAATGGCAGGAACACAGGGAGCCGGAGCCAGGCAAGGGAAGCCAGAACTGTAGGAGAATTTATAGAGTGCCATGTCCTTGCAGCCAAGGGTGGAAGTGGTTGCAAAAATGGGTTATCTGTAGCCTGAAATGTTACTGAGAAGAAAAAGAGGATGAAGATTGAGCACAAAAGATGGAAGGAATTAATGTATGAGGTGCCCAGCACAGTTCCTGGCACAGGGAAAGAACAATAAACAGCCCCTATTATTTGATCTACAGACTATTAATTTTGGCAGTTAGGAAGTATTTACCACTTTATCCTCAGACCCAGCCAAATGTCTTGCACAGAGCTGGAGCTTAATACATGCGTCAAATAATATAAGGAGTTCGTAGAAGACAGATGAGGCAGAGTTTAGGAGTGGTGATTCTTTAGAGGTGGTCAATTCATAAACCCATCCATCCCAGCTGGGCTGTTCCTTGTCCCAGAGAAACTCCTTTCCTTTGGGGGTGTGTCTTTTGGACGCTGAGATTAACCATGCACGTAGGCTAGCTTGCTTGGAAAGCCAGGCCAGCCAGTTGGCCGAGAGAGAGGTTGATGGTGATTTTCCACTAAGATTTCCTGACCTCTCACAGGCATCACAGAGATCCAGTGTCAGGTGCAATGAGCAACCACAGCGTTGTCAGGGAATTTGTGCTCCTGGGATTTTCTCATCTCCACGAGTTCCAGGTTCTCCTGTTTGCTCTCATCATGCCGATATACGTGCTGACAGTGCTGGGCAACCTGGCCATCATCACCCTCACCTGCCTGGACTCCCGCCTGCACTCACCCATGTACTTCTTCCTCTGCAACTTCTCCTTCATGGAGATGCTGGTCACCTCCACCGTGGTGCCGAGGATGCTGGCAGACCTGCTGTCCACTCACAAGACCATGTCCCTGGCCGAATGCCTCACCCAGTCTTTCTTCTACTTCTCCCTGGGCTCCACCACCTTCCTCATCCTCACAGCCATGGCCTTCGATCGCTACGTGGCCATCTGCTGCCCTCTGCGCTACCCCACCATCATGAGCCGTCCTGTTTGTGTGAAGCTGGTGGTGGCCTGCTGGGCGGTGGGGTTCCTCTCCATCGTCTCCCCAACTCTACAGAAAACGAGGCTCCGGTTCTGCGGCCCCAGAGTCATCGACCACTACTTCTGTGACTCTGCCCCGCTCCTCAAGCTCTCCTGCTCCGACACCAGCCACATCGAGCGCTTGGACTTCTTCCTGTCCCTGCTCTTTGTGTTGGCCACCATGCTGCTCATCCTCGTGTCCTACGTCCTCATCGTGGCCGCGGTGCTGCGCATCCCCTCCTCCTCCGGGCGCCACAAGGCCTTCTCCACCTGCGCCTCCCACCTCACCGTGGTGGTCCTGGGCTACGGCAGCGCCATCTTCATCTATGTGAGGCCAGGCAAGGGCCACTCCACGCACCTCAACAAGGTGGTGGCCCTGATGACTGCCGTGGTGACCCCTTTCCTCAACCCCTTCATCTTCACCTTCCGGAATGAGAAGGTCAAAGAGGTGATGGAGGATATGACCAAAAGGATCCTCTCTGGAGACCCAGCAGCCCGCAGGTGACAGGACTGGAGAGCAACTGTCCAAGCCACGGGGAGCAAAGGCCCTTCCTGCAGGTAGACATGCGGGTGCCCCGGCTGCAGCTCCCAAGTCTCCCCTTTCTCTGTCTCTCCTGTCCCCTCATCTTCGTGCAAGTCTGCGCCTAGCTACAGGGAGCTCGTGGACACACGTCGTTATTAATAGACCCCTCAGAGGCAAGTGTCTGTGAGTCTGAGATAGCCAAGGGGTGGACAGTTTGGAGTGAGCCACAGTGTGACTATGGTGGGATGATATCAACCAAATGAGGTGACCCCAATAAAGCTCTTAGTGCAGGGCCTGGTGCACAGGGAGGGCTCAGTAAGTTCAGCCATCATTATTAAAATGTCCTATTAAAATCTCTCCTCCTTAGTCTGGCTCTATGGTTTTACTTACATGTTTTTACATTTCTTTGTGCGCTACTTTTATTCTGGGTGTGTCCCTTTCTCAGGAACTAGCTTCAGGGTCTAGGACAGGGTTCTGAACACAGAAAAAGCCACGTGCCTCCCATGGCCCCTCTCTGGGACTGCTTCCGGTCAGAAGCACTGTCATACCCAGGCTGCCCCCTTCATCCCTCTGGCCCCAAAGCCTGTTGTCCTTCAGCGGAAATGACCCTCTGGGAACTGCTCGCCCAGCCCTCCTGCGGGGCGTCATGGGGGCCTGATTGTTTTCATGCACTCAAGACGGGGAGGAAGCTGGGCCGTCTCCCCACTCTCAGACTTGCTGCCCTCCCAGGGCACAACTTGGGTCCAAGTTCCAGAGGGATGACCGGTGGCCCAGGCCCTCCGAGGTTGGATTTCCTGAGAGCGGACCCAGCAGGTTCCTGGGGCCCCTGGAGGGTAAAGCAAAAATGGCAGAAGCCATATGAGGAAATGGAGTGGGACTGGTGTCGGGGCTGACCGGGTGGGAGGCAAAGGCATTCCTTGGGAATCTGTGGGTGGTGCAGGAAGTTGTGGGAAGACGGTGGGGCTAGGAGTAGCTCTGGTATCTGATTTCTTACAGATTGAGTCTGAACTGGGCTGGGAATAGCAAAGTAGGGCAAAAAATGGGTGCCAACTTCCTGTCTCTTCTGAAGCTCGCTCCATCCACAGATTACCCAGAGGACAGGCGTTGGCTGTAACTAGCAGCGTGGAGAGTCGCAGTGTGGGGCCACCACCCTGAGCCAGGGCTATGAGAAACCGCGTGGCTGTAGGGGCGTGTCCTGGGGTGCGCAGCCTGGAGACAACCATCTCTTGTTGTTGCTGCCTTTCGCTTCATCTCTAAGAGAGGCTTTTTTTTAAGCTACCGCAGGACATTTTCACGTGTGTGGGTCTCTCTCGGAAAGTAGGCAGGTACTTCTGACTCTGCTGTGAAGGCCAGTAGGGAAAACAGAGTTTCAACCTGAGAATTTTGTCTCCTCTAGCTCTCAAGGGACCAATTATTTGCCCTCCTTGCAAACTTGGTGAAAAACTTGAGAGCTAGGTGGGAAGTAATTATCTCTTTCTGAGATGCACATACTTTGCTTCAGCTTCTCCTGCTAAAATAATCAGCACACGGATCAATCAGAGTTTCCTCCTGGGAGCCTCCTTCCTGCTACTCTCTCCTCTCTGCTTGTGTCTCTCTTAAAAAATTAAAAATAGTCAACAGCCCGGGGCAGTCCGTTGCCAGTTTTTCAAAGCGTTTGCTCAGGAGTGGGCTCTCTGACCGGTCACTTTGGGGGAAGGTGTGGCTGCCCTGGGCCTCCACGGTGCTCACCTGTCACATCCACACATCCAGCGTTGTCACACAGCATCACATTCACATCACACAGCGTCACATTCTCAGCAGCCGGTGGTCCCTGGCTGTGCGAAGTGCCACCCCTGCCACGGCACGGGCGTCTCCTGAGAGCCCGTTGGAATGTAGACTCCGGGGCCCTGCCCGCCGGCCACTGAATCAGCGTCTGCATTTTTACAAGGTCCCCGGCAATTCCTGTGCACATTGATTCCTGAGCGGCACTGGTCTAGACAATTTGTTGATGGAATTTTCAATCAGGAAATCGTATAAGAAAGTCCTCGTCCCAATCTCAACGATGTGAAAGGTGCTGGTAGAGGGAATTTGGAGACACATTTGGTGTTGTTGAAGCTGACCTTCCTTGGTGTCTTTTATCCCAGCTTTTGTTTCTGGAGACAGTAACCAGGATAAAACCCACCAAGATTTTCATCCTAGTCTGACTTTAAACTTCTTGAGTGACTTTAGCCAAATGCCCCGGCCTCTGACTTGCTGCTGGAATCCCCCGTGGACATGACCGAGGGCTGTCGAGATGTCTTGGCTCCATACACTCGACTCGATGTGGCAGGGAGCTTTGATGTGCACGATGTCAAATGAGGCCCCTGGAGAGACATCAACTGGGACATGATTTTAAAAGAGTTTTCCAACCTGCTGGAAGGGATCTTAGGATTACAGTTCTGAGTCAAAGTAGCTGTTAAAAAGCCTCCCCAGGTTTATGTCATGATGTAAATGAACCACGGCCTCGTGGTTTTGCAAGGGGGACGGTAGGTCATGCAGGCCCTCCTGCCATTCTCTGGGCACAAGCACCCCCACTGCCACACGCCGATCAGACTGGCTTAGACACTCTGCCTGAACCAGGTCCCGTGGGGCATTCACAGCTGTGGGATGCTACACAGTTCTAAATTTTAGGATGAAACCCTTTTGTCAAGCCTCGGCATGACTCCTTCTAACATTCAACCATTGTCCAAGTTCTGCCTTTTTGAGTTACACAGGCAGACTGGCAAAGAAGTGAAGACATCTGAACATTCCCCTCCAAAATCTTCAGATTTACAAGTGGGATGTTGCCCTTGAACAATTTCTAGACCTTCTGTCATCCACATTGCTCCTCCTGGCCCCTGTTGTTATGTGGGTCTTGGAACTGGTGGGGGTCCTAGTTTAGAGAACCAATTGAGATAGAGTGCAGTGGGAAACCTCTTCCCTTGCTTTGCTGACTGCTTTTCTATTCCCATCCACTGAGGTGACATTCTATGTTTTAGGTGATGGCGCTAACTCATGTTCCAAATTCATACAAATCTCATGATTAAAGAGATTTATTGAATGCCTACCACAGTCTAGGCATAGGAGATACAAAGATATATTAGGCTCAGAATTTAGTGTGGGAAGACAAAACTATGTGTTAGCTACTGTAGACCAAGCACTCTGGGAGTGCCTCATTCTCTTTGGTAAAGTTGAAAGTCAAGTTGAAATGACTTTTTGTCCTTTTAGTTGAGCTTTGAGGTATGAAGAGCAGTTTCATAGGCTGAGAAGATGAAAAGTGAATTCCTGAGAGAGGCATCTGAACATGTAAAATAACATGGACATAAAATGGCATATTGTGTAGGTGACCAAAAGCCCAAGAAGGTGAAATTAATGAGTGGACTTTCTGGAGACTGTCCTTGGGTATTGTCACTAATCAGACCCAAGTCCCTCAGGGGACTTCAAGTGTCCTCGTCAAGATGCTCCACTCACTGAAATAATAGGACGTATCTGACAATAATGAACTTCTGAGTGGTTACAGTGGACATTGGCGTGGAAATCTTTGCATGCTAGGGTAATTATAGTGCATTCACCAAAAGTACTATTTACCTTAAGTGCTGGAATTTTATTGCCTTCAATTTTGCAAATAACCTAAGTGAGTTTGAGGGGCTTAGCTTTTCTGGAATGCTTGCTTCCCCTCTGTCAGCAGCCGAGCTGGTCATGGGTTATGGTCCTTTAGGTCTGCTTTGGTCAGGTCCTCCGATGAGAGGGAGGCGTGGGGCTGGGGCTGAGGGGTGGGGATCCACCTTCTGGTCTCCTCTCCTGTGTCTGCGGAGGACGAAAGGAGGGGACTCTGTGACAGCCCCTCTCCTTAGCTCATGCTTATCTTGCTCCGTAACAAGGACAAGGACGTCACATACAGTCCTGCGGACTCACACTCAGGGGTGGGGAACTCAAGACCTTCTGGATGAGTTTTCCACCCAGTGAGGGAGGTGGCAGGAACACAGGTGTGAGTGGTGCGCTGCCCAGCTGCCACTGGGGCAGGCAGGTCCCCTCACCCTCGGAGGGGCCCGAGTCCATCAGAAAGAGGAATTTATAAGTTTCTTTATAAGGGCAATGCCATGAGGTTTGAACTTGTCATGCGTCTAACTCAAGGGAAGGAGAAATACCATGATGCAGGGCTGAATAGGGAGAGGGATTTAAAGGAAAAAAAAACCTGGGGTAGAATGCAAGTGATGTTTGGGAGCAGAACCAGTTGTTAAATTGTCAGGAATTATATACAGCTGTTATTAAAAAGTAAATAACAGGCACTTGCAATCAAATAAATTATGCCAAAAGCAAAGGTGATAAATATGCAAAACTCCTAATTACTTTGCTACATTTTACTTCTATCCATCTATTGAAGTTGTTCATGACACTTGTCTCAGGACGGTGGAAATTCTGCTTCATGCGGTATTGCTGGGAAGCTTCTCCTAACGGCAAGTTCATGAAGTCAGGCTGGCCGTTTGAAATTGGACTTGAGGGGAATGTTGACCGCCAGGAAGTTGGCAAATGCTAGAAGTCAGCAGATGGAGAGCCAGGGGTTAAACACCAGCAGACCACTGGACGTACGTAGACTACCATCTTTCCTTGTACCTGTCGGGCATTGTAGTGAAAACCATGTTTACATCAGAAAATGAAATGCTCAAAGAAAATATAATGCTTAAAATGCAATCAGAAAGCATAATGTAAAAACCATATGTACAACAGTAAACGATGCTTAAAGGACTAGATTGATATGGCCCGCTATAGGCAACATTGCAATTTTTCAGTTTTGACCTAGAGGCCTTTTCACCGAGCCGAGCTCCTAAAGTCCCATCCTTGCGGGGTTTTTAAGCTGCTATGAGCCACCACAGGACCCAGGCCTGACTTTCCTCTGAAAAATGATTTGATTACTTTAACTTCCCTCCTCAAAACTTCCATACCCTTAATTCCTTGCTCACTGATTCTCCTACTGGAAGAAATAAGCCCATTTTATGGTTTGTCACTGGGATATACATGCGTGACAGTGTATGCTTGTGTTAGCCGACTCTATTTCTAGTGGTTGCCGACCAGACACTGTCGCTGGGGCTGGGATGCCAGACCAAAGAAGGGTGGGTGGGAAGATACTTCAGGGAAGGGAAGGCATTTTAGAGTCATGAAATCCTGCCACTGACTCTCTGCCTACACTTAAATTAGTTCTGGGTATCAAGAACAGCCTTGCCCAGCTAACGCCCTGGAATTAGGTTCTAGTGTAAGCTACTTCCGTGGAGTGGGAAGGCTGTTGCCTTCTGTACAACTATGTCCAATGTCCTTATGTCGAATAATAACCACATCCATTGTTCTTGTCTCTCAGGAAAAACGGTGTTATAGCAAAGGGACTGTGACTCCGCTATGCAATTAACATCGTATGTGAACTGAATAAAAATATTTCTTCAGATTAAAAATATATTGCATGTGTAGGTATTATTTGCTGTCTTTCAAATGTTTGTAGATGCTATTGCGATAAATAAAACACAAATCTTTAAAAATGACACTGAATCTATAGTTGCTTTGGGACAATGTGTTTCATGTGATGGATACTAAACGCACAAGTACTGCCCCGAAGGCGTCACTAGACTGTGGCCTATGAACTTGATGGACACACACTAAATATGGGTCTAGTAGAGGCAAAACTGAGCAGCTGCAGACCCTGGAGATTCCAACTTTGAGTTATTCCAACTTTTGATCCAGGTGGAAGAAGAAATTCCACAGGGAGGACAGGGAGGCGGAAGAGAAGTTTGAAGAACCAGATTTCACTGTAGGTTCAGCCATCTCTTTGGCCGACATATTTATCTCCTCAACCATAGTTCCTCTGTCCATGAACGTGTGTCAGGAACACCGTGTGCTGCAGCCCAAGAATCAGCATTTCCCCTCTGGGATCTCTCCCAGCACTCTATTATAAGCAGAAAACCCCCTAATGGAAATGTATTGGAAAACTTTTTTTTTTTTTTTCAGACAGAGTCTTGCTCTGCCTCCCCGGCCAGAGTGCCACGGCATCAGCCTCACTCACAGCAACCTCAAACTCCTGGGCTCAAGGGATCCTCCTGCCTCAGCCTCCCGAGTAGCTGAGACTGCAGGCACATGTGCCACTCTGCCCAGCTGATTTTTTTAATTTTTAGTAGAGATGGGGGTCTCACTCTTGCTTAGGCTGGTGTTAAACTCCTGAGCTCAAGCCATCCTCCCGCCTCAGCCTCCCAGAGTGCCAGGATTACAGACGTGAGCCACGCCACGGCACTCGGCTGAAAACATTTTTTTAAAATGATAATAAGAAAACCCCCAAACTCAAATGTATTGGAGTGAATTGCATTTTCTCTTTGGGGAAAGGGAACCCCTAGAGGCCAGCATGCACATATCTTTCATCTTGCACAGCCAGTGCTGAGCAGGGTGTTTTGCTCATGATGGGTGGTCACTGTTAGCAGGGTGACACCAAATGGAAAATATATGTGAACGTGGTTTGTCCACTGATGAAATACACAAAAGCAAGGTGTCTTCAGCAGAATTGTTCTTTACTCATTCATCATCCCTTCATTTATTGTACAAATACATACTTTTTGAGGTGGTGAGCAGGAGATAATCAGAGAAAAATAAATTGGTTCAACAGCAACAGCAAAAGCCAGAGTCATTGCCCTAATATGTAATTAAAAAACAAGCAACATTTTGGACCAGAAACTGAAACTTGGAGCCTAAATAGACCCTCTGACTTGGGAGAAGGGTATCTCAGCAAGAAAGAAACTCACTTGCAGAAATCCAGTGCCTGGTTTAGGAGGGAGTCAGTTTGGGGTGACGGGAAGTACGTAAAGAGAACCAACCGGCCACTCAGTGAGCTGTGTCTCCACAGCTGGACCCTGTAGCCCCCAAACCAGCCCGAGATTACCTACTTTGTTTACTTCCACATAGATTTTTTAAAAAAGCTTGACATTTGTGATACATTCGTAGTTTTTATGATCTTTAAGTAAGTGCAGCTAGGAATACACTCTTGATTGAAGTTTGCATATCACAAATTGGGGAATGGAGCTTGGTAAATTAAAGTCTATTTAGAGAAACAATATGGTAGAATAATTTAAATTGGGGCTATTTTAGAAAATCCTGGGTAAATGAAAGTTAAAGGAAGACCATTATTCTGAGGTCCAAGTAAGTGGAAGATTTTTAAAATTTCAGGCTATAGTTGGAGAAGGGAAGAGCAATGGAGCAGGTTTCATCCCAGAGGCAATATGGGACGTAGTAGGTTTCCAGGAATTTCGAACTTCATACACACACACACACACACACACAAATAGCTGGACAAAGGACCTTACTGGATTTATTACCATCCCAGCCTTCAGGCAAATGAATGTTTCTAACCATATAGGAGGAAAGTGTATTTTATCTTTCCAAAACTCTCTGTGAATATTTCCGTTCTGAAACCCACATAATTCCTGAAAGACTTGCTCTCATTTCTTATGCCAATGGAGGTATGTCTTGTTTTAATTTAAGTTCATTTTTCTCTGTTTTTGCTTTTTCTCAGATGCAAGGGCCCCTGATGAATTGCATTCTCACAGTTTCTACCTTATAGTCAACGTGTCACTCAGGTGTCATCTTATCAGGAAGCTGTCCCTCATCTGATGCCCCTTGGCCTGGTCTGATGTCCCTGATGTCTGGTCTTAGTGTTACTGTCACGTGCTCTCGTGAAGCCTTCTGTGAAGCCTTCCTTGCACTTCCCCTCTGTGCCGTGAAAAGCTCTTTGTCTTTCCCCTCATCAGGCCAAGAGGATAAGGACCAGCTGTGCCTTCACCTATTTCCCCTGCACTTGCTGTCGTGCCTGACACACAGAGGCCACCCCATGGTGGTGAAATGCACAATTATGTGATGAACTCCGTGCTCGCGTGCACACACACGCACACACACTGAAAATCAGTCACGTTGTTTGCTAAGTGCTGCTCCTTCCCTTGGTCCCATGCAGCCCAGGCACTCAGGCTGCAGGTGCTCAACAATGGGGTAGAAAGGCACACCCCGAAAACACACACCTGCACGCACACGCACGCACACAGGGGCTGGGTGGCCTCTCTCGCGCAGCGAGCACTTCTTGGCTACTCTTCCTTGAATGCAAAGCCCACGTCCTTCCTCTTTCCTGAAAGCCTCTCTCCTGGCTCCCCAGGCTCGGGGCCACTTTCCCAGTTCTTGTAGCTGTCGGTGGGCGTGGGGAGCACGTCCTGGTGGCCTCTGAGGGCTTTGGGCCAGATGGGGTAGCACTGAGGGCTCACTGTAGTCGCCACTCAGAGGCACAGAGGAAGAAACGTAAGGAAACTGGACAGTGGTCTTCCCACCTGCGGGCACTCTGCCTCCTCACAGAGCTGCTCGACCGAGCCCGGCCGGGTCGCTCGGGCTCATGACGGTGCCCCGTGAAGGCCTTTCAGCCTCTGCACCTGCCCCCGGAGCACTGTCCTGACCGTCTCGTTGCGGAAGGTGAGGATGAAGGGATTGAGGAAGGGGGTGAGGACTGAAGTCACCAAGGCTACGATCTTGTTGACTTCCACAGAGTGCGCCTTGCCAGGCCTGACGTACAGGAAGATGGTGCTGCTGTAGCCAATGAAGACCAGCGTGAGGTGGGAGCCGCACGTGGAGAAAGCCTTCTGGCGGCCGCTGGCCGAGGGCATGCGCAACACAGTGCTCACGATGTAGCCGTAGGAGATGAGGGTCAGAAGGAAGGAGCTGAGGACAAAGGCCAAGGCCATCACAAAGTCCCAGAATTCCAGCAGGCGTGTGTCAGAGCAGGACAGCTGCAGCAGAGGCGCATTGTCACAGAAGAAGTGGTTAATGACGTTGCCATGGCAATAACTGAGATGAGCTCGGGAGAGGACGGTGGGTACCATGGCCAGGAGGGGAGCTGCCCAGGCGGCCCCAGCCAGCCGGACACACACAGCCCAGCTCATCAAAGTGCCATAGCGCAGTGGGTGGCAGATGGCCACAAAGCGGTCAAGGGCCATGTCTGCCAGGATGAGGAAGGTGGTGGAACCCAGTGAAAAGTAGAAGTAGAACTGGACCATGCAGCCAGTGAAGGAGATGACTTTGAGGGGGACCAGCAGGTCTGAGAGCATCCTGGGCACTGTAGTCACGGTCACCAAGATCTCCAGCAGGGAAAAATTGCCCAGGAAGAAGTACATGGGCGTATGTAGGTGGGTGTCAGCTATGACCATGACAATGATGATGGTGTTTCCCATGAAGGCGAGGAGATGGAGCACGAGGAAGGGGCCATACAGGAGGACCTGCAGCTCACCGAAAGAGGAGAAGCCCACGAGGACAAATTCCGAGGGTCGGCTCAGATTTGCCATGATCCGGGGCAGGGTCCCTGCGGGTAAGGGAGACCAGAGGCAGAGATGCAGAGGCTGAGACAGAGAGATAAAGACAGAGGACCGTTGACCATGAAGCAGGGATAGGCAGGGACTGAGCAGAGCACAGGGAGGCCAAGGCAAGCAGGCAAACAGAAGGACAGAGGGAAAGAACAATAGAAAGAGAACAAAACAAGGAGATGAGAATCACAGAGAAACAGGGAGTCAGAGGCTGAAAGATGTGTCTAGCCACTGACAGGGAGAGAGAAGGCCAGAGAGGAGCAGATTGAGAAAGCTCACACAGCACAGCCCTCAACATTAGGGAGAAAACAAGAAGGAAACAGGAGAGGAACAGGGAAGGGACAGAGAAGGGAGAACCAACAGGGGAGGGGAGAATCAGGGAAGGAGAGGGGGCGGATTAGTGCCCGACACCCAGCCCCCCCAGCCCCCATGCACAGGCCAGCACTGGGCGTCCGTGTCCTGACCCACAGGCTGTGCGCCAAGACCCCTTTTAAAAGGTCCCTGCAAATCTTTCTGGGCCGTCTCTCTGAGGACCCCCCCATTCACATTTCCTTAGCTATGATCACGACATTAGCAGCAAGTCAGGGTTGTGAGTCAATAACTTAGCTTCCTTTAGAGCAGCCCTCTGCTTTGGGTTTGCAAACACTGGGAACAGAAAAGGCACAGGAGGTCAGGGCGACAGGTCTGGGATGCCAGGCGGCGGCTGTGCCAGGCCCACGCGGCCACTACCCGTCTACCTAAGGGTGCTGCGCTCCCCTCCGCGGTGGCGGGGCGCGAGCAGTGGAGTGGCCCTGCCTGTGTTTGCATCTGGCTCCTGCTTGTCACGGGCTATAAATCTGCTCCTCTCCGTCACCTGCCTTCTCTGAGTCGCAGTTTGCTCAGCTATAAAATGAAGATAATGACCGTATTTCACCTCTACAGGGATCGCAAAATTACACCAGTACGCCACTTAGAACAGTGCCTGGTACATACCAGGTGCTCAACATACAGTCGTGTCATTGTCATCGTTCTCATCGCGGCGGTTGTCCATGAAACCTGCGTTCTCTTTGCCCGTCATCTCTCCACACTTCAGTGCCAACTTGGGGTGTGTGTGTGTGTGTGTGTGTGTGTGTGTGCATGTGTGTGACTATCTCCACAGCATTATGCTGGTCCTTAGGATTTTGGCTCACTGAAAGGTTAGCTTAACATATTTTAAACACAAAACAACGTAAGCATTACAGCACAAACTGTTAGGAGCGCAGAGAGTGAAGCTGTGTACAGACATACGCTGGCCCTTTCTCTGGCCCCATAAAAGCTTCACCTGTGGCCGTGCCCTGGCTACCTAGCAATGGCATTCTGATTTAGAGAAGCCTCGCACCCAAGCCACTGACGAACCTTATCAGTGGGTCTCAAATCTATGGCAGCACTGACAAAATTCAAACCCAGTCGTTATGTCTGTGTTGCACAACAACCTGAGAACACAAACTTAAGCCACTCACCTTAGCCTCCACGCACAGGGTCTTCTCCCTAAGCTGCTCTCATTAGGTATGCATGCCCGGAGACCTCTGCCTCTCGGATCCTCTCTGTGACAGGAGTGACATCAGAGATGTAGTCCTTTGCCCTTGGGTGGTGTCTGTCTTGCAGCTGGCAGAGGTGGAGGGGAGCTTTGTGCATCTGGAACGGATGAGTGAGCTAAAACATCGCCAGTTCTCATGCTGATTTTCTAAGTCACGAACTACCCAGTCTCACGACAAAGCCCGGGGCAGCAGCATTGATGCGGGGCTGCAGGGTGGGAAGGAAGGCCTTTCTCTCCTGTCCTCTGATTCTTGATGATGTTTGAAGCTGAGCTTGTGCTGGATGGGAAACTTAGACTCCAGCAAGGCGTTCTCTAAAGGGCCCTCTGGGGACTTCTGAGACACTGATGTTACTCCCTGGAATAATGAGACATCCTCTGTTTCAAGGAAATAACATTTGAGAAAAAGATCTGAATGAACAAAGGGATAGAGACCTAGATACACCTAAGCAGCTGGCGTCTTAAGATCAGTTCCTTGGCAGTGTCCCCTGGTCCTTCCCTTCCTCTTAGGACCACGGGAGAAAAATGGGATCACAGAAAAAACACAAAGGAATGTCCCCAGTGGGACTAAAGTTATGGCAGGCTGGGTACGTGGCCAGGGCTGGATCCAGAGTCCCAGAGCTTCTATTTGGAGAAATATTTTGTCTCCCTCCCAGACTTAGTGTTTTAGGATCTAGGGAGGAGGAGAGTGGAGGTCCTGGACCAGGGCACTCTCTTGTCTGAATTCTCCAGAGTGTCAGCTAGGGAAGCTTAGGAATTGAAACAGTGAGCCCAAGAGACCTCTGCCTCACAGAAGCAGGGCCCCGACAGACTCATCTCGGGACCTGGCTGGACTGAAGGCCTTGTCTCTGATTGCCAAGAGAAGATACAAGAGATGCACCTTGGGGACAAGGGTGAAGGGACTATGGTAAGGCCCACTGCAAGGCATGAGCTCCCTAGTAAATTCTGAGTCACGGTTCTGCATCACAGAGACATGCAAATCTTAGAGATGACACCCAATTCAACCGTATCCACATCCACAGGTAGAAATGAGGACAGAAAGATGTCAAGCAAAAGCTTCCCAATGAAGATAATGCCCCGAGTTTAAGAACAAACAGAGCTGGAGTGGTGGGGGTGGGGTGGGGTTGGTCAGGTCATCTTTCTGTAGGACCTGAGCCTGGAACTGAGTTTTTAGGGCTGACCCATCAGAGCAAAGAGGCATTTAGATCATTTAGGATTGGAATAGGGGATGGTATGGAGAGGAGGGTATTGCTGACAGGCAGACGGGTCCAGGCAGGGCTGGAGGCAGGCTGTCTTGAGAATCGAAAGACAAGCGTGTAGGCCGGACAGATGCGGGCCTTCATGACTACTGGTTTTCTATTGCTTCTGCAGCAATTGACGGCAAATTTTGTGGCTTACACAATACAAATGTATTACCTGATGAATTTTACAAGTCAGACATTTGACACAAGCGTCATCAAGGCTGTCTCTCCCCCTGGCGTCTCCATGCGTCTTTCCAGCTTCTAGAGGCCACCCACACTTCCCGGCTCACGGGTCCCTTGCTCCGTCTTGACAGCAACGTTTCGTTTCTCCCACCTTTCTTCTCTGCCGTCACATCTTCCTTTGACTGAACTCAGAGGGAACTGTTTTTCACTTTTACAAATACCTGGGATTAGATTCGGCCCACCTGGGTCATGCAAGATGCTCCTCCCATCTCATGGTCCTTAGCCTCGTCACATATGCAGAGTCACTTTTGCCGTGTAAAGCAACGTATTCACAAGTGCCAGGGATTAGGGTCTGAACACCTTTGGGGGCCATTATTCTGTCTCTCTTCATGACTGCGGTGCAGCTTTGGTGTCTGCTGAACCGCCCATCCAGCCAGCTCCATGCGTCTATACACAATTGTGTTCATTCATCCACAAACGTGTGGATTGCGCAGCAGCGTAATCCTGAATCCGTCCCCATTTCCTTTGAAACCACGGGCATGTGGAACTGTGTTAGTTCTTGTTTCCTCTCTGGCCTTCCCAAAGAGAAAGAGCTAGGATGGAAAGAGCTAGAAGAATTATTCTAGGGCCACTTGGTGCTGTCTCCTGGGCCTCCCTGGCCTCGAAGAACCACCCACTGTCCTTTCTGTTAGCTTCTTCTCTTACTTGATGACATTAATTGGAAATACAGTCATTCTCATCATTCAGTTGATACTGTCTGAAGTAGCCCATGGATATCTACCTGTGCCACCTTTTCACACAGTTTATTCTCTTCTTAATGGAAGTTTTCATTGTTAGTGCTTCTTTGATCCTATGATTCATTCCTAAACCAGTATCCTCTCAGCCTCTGGCTGAAAAATATTCTCCACTTGTGCCTCCCACTTCTCCTACGTTGTGATCGGCTATGGCAGCTGCTTGTTCCTCTCTGTGAAACCCAAGCAAACACAGGCAGCCCAGTAAAACAAGGTAGTTTCCCTGTTGATTTTTATACTGACCCCTTTTCTGATCCTTTTCAGGAGGTGAAAACTCTCTGGAATAACAAAGTCAAAGGAGCCTTTTGGGACGTTGTGAAATGCTGCTCAACTAGCTCCATCAGTTTCAGGTGGGACAATCCTTATCACAAATGCTAAGGTAGCCTGGAAAATACTAACAAATATCCAAGCCAAAACATCTTTATTTTCATCACCAAATAGTCTATAATCATCACACTCAGGCCCTTGAAAGTGGGCAAGACACAAAAATAAAACACACTGGCTTATCATTTACTGATAATCTAAGCTACTTCTTGTTTTAGTTGTTATGTAATGAAATGATTGTTGCAGTTCTTAAAATCTATGGAAGAAAATGCTTCAAGCTGGGGAGGAACTTTAAGAAGGAGATATATATGCTCTCAGGGGGATTTCAATTATACCATAACCATCTCTGAACCTGCATTTCCAGAAGAGGAAGGAAGACAGGCCAGGGAATGAAATAAAGTGACTGGGACCTCTGCTCAGACTCTGCCCTTCCGTTTTCTGGGATCTCTTGACATTTTGATTTGTGTTGTCAGGCTCAACCTCACGGTGCTGTGTCTGGCCACTCAGTCAGCCACACACGATTCTCTGGTGCACTTTTTGTCCTTAGATATGCAACATCCAGTCTTGGTTCTATTGTTACTACAAAGCATCTCTGTTTTTCTCTATATGTTGCCATAGAACCAACTTGGAGTGGCGTGAGGGTGATATCTTTGGAAAGGGGTGGATGGAGAAGATGAGCATTTTTATTTATTTATCTTTTTTGAAATAGAGTCTTGCTTTGTTGCCTAGGCTAGAGTGAGTGCCGTGGCATCAGCCTAGCTCACAGCAACCTCAAACTCTCAAGCAATCCTTCTACCTCAGCCTCCCGAGTAGCTGGGACTACAGGCATGCGCCACCATGCCCGGCTAATTTTTTCTATATATACTAGTTGGGCAATTAATTTCTTTCTATTTATAGTAGAGACGAGGGTCTCACTGTTGCTCAGGCTGGTTTTGAACTCCTGACCTTGAGCAATCCACCCGCCTCAGCCTCCCAGAGTGCTAGGATTACAGGCGTGAGCCACCGCGCCCAGCCAGCATGTTTGACATGCAGGGTTGGAAGTGTCTGATCAGATTTTAGGCAACTGCTCTACTCACCTCCTCTTTTTTTTGTTG